ACAGAAAATAGAACTTTGCCGTCACCCTATACTGATGATTATCGCCTATGTCCGATTCCTTGCCTCTGGTACGAGTGCTGGTGAGTAAATACCCCGTTTTATATCAAAAGTCAAACTGCGACAATTTCGATGACGCGGAGGAAGTACCTGGGACTCGTGATGTGAGTTTTTGCCGGCGGAGACCCCACATACCGTAAAGTCGCGGATAAAAGCCGGGCTTATAAGCACATAAGCCGCTTTCTGCATCAGGCTTTAATGCAAGCCAGGCTTGTATGCACATAGAAGCCAGGCTTCTACGCGCGACACGCGTAGATCTACCACTGACTACCGGTATGACGGCAGTTTTACTATGCACCGTACAAAGCGCATGCGCTCTTGACCTACCCGATTCGCGCTTGCATAGAAGCCAGGCTTCTACGCGCGCCAGGCTTATATGCATTCGACCCGTTTGATTTTCAGGCTTCTATCCGCGATGTGCTTGTATGCAAACCCGGCTTTTATCCACGACTTAACGGTAAGCAGAGCTGCACACTCTTGGGAGCTTATCTACGCTTGATATTACCTGTAAGATGTTATATTGTAAACGAAGCAGTGTGAAACCTCTCTAATTTTACCTGTGAGATGCGATGCTGACGCTGCAGCAGCCGGTGTTCCGCCCGCACCACTCTCATCCAGAGGGTTGGACGGTTGGTGGTGCTTGTGCTTCTTTCGTTTGGCCTTCTTACGATTGCCTTCCGGGATCATGCGAAACGCATCCGGTATCTGCAGGTGGACAGCGCGAGACACACGGACGTAACAGCGATGAACATGTTGACCCGGTCTCAAGAACTGGTGGATTATGTTACATGTATGTGCATCGATCTCTTTGTGTGTGTGTCAGGGGGCTGGTCGGAGGGTGGGTGGACCTCTCTCTTTCTCTCTCCCTTTCTCTGTCTCTGTCTGTGCCTCTCTGTCTGTGCCTCTCTGTCTGTGCCTCTCTGTCTGTGCCTCTCTGTCTGTGCCTCACTGTCTCTCTCTCCCCTCTCTTTCCTCCTCCCACTTTTAACTTTATAGCTAGCAATCACACAAATGAAGAAGAAAAATAGAAGAAGAAAACAAGACACACCACAACTGATACAGTACAACGCACCGGTCCAGGCCGTAAGCGAAAACCAAGCAGGGCGGATTTGCTTAGCGGCTCCAATTGTCTACCTCCAATTGGTGGCTTTTCAATGAGAGAGCGGAGATTGTCTTCTGCCGACGCTGCACCATCCACATTACCTGCGAGATTGCAGGTGGACATAGACACCGCATGATGAGTACATGTGTGTGTGTGTGTGTGCATGTGTGTGCGTGCGCGTGCATGTGTGTGCGTGCGCATGTGTCTGTGTGTGTGTGTGTGTGTGTGCATCTGTGTGTGTGTGTGCATGTGTGTGTGTGTGTCGATCAATGGCTGCAGTATAGCAACACTCTGTTAGGAGCTGTACTTTGGCACCCGTCTTGTTCAACTTGTATTAACGGGACCATTGGGTGGATGAGTGTGGGTGCGTGTGCCAGCTAGTTCAGTTGGTGGGTACACTTATGCCAGAGAGTGTTGGGTCTGTTGCCAACGGGTTCGGCTGCTGGAAGGCGCAATGTTGTACCTACCACCAGTGTTGGTTTCAGGGTTCATATCCTTTCTATTTTAAGTATACATACCTGTTAATTATGGTGCTAGTGAAGCCTATGAGTTATCAGATCCATTCTGATTTAGCCACCCACACTAGCAAGTATTACCTTCACCGGGGGCAGGGGTAACTGCAGTTGGATCCCGGGACGGATACCTTGATGCCATCAATCCCTTTCCTGCACCCTGTCCTCGCCCACTTACTGAGGTGTGGTGAGCCCATCAGTGGGATCATTTCCAAGTCCCCCCCCCCCCCCCCCCCCCAGAGTTTGGGGATTAAAGGGGGTGTCAGCTGTTGGGCGGTTCAATAGCCAATTGAGTCATCTTTCCAAGATTCCTTTTGAATCTCTCTCCCCTCTTCGGGGGAGACTTGCATGACCAGTCATGGCAGTGCATGGCAAGCACAGTACAGAGAGAGAGAGAGAGAGAGAGAGAGAGAGAGAGAGAGAGAGAGAGAGAGAGAGAGAGAGAGAGAGGGAGAGAGAGAGAGAGAGAGAGAGAGAGTGTGTGTGTGTGTGTGTGTGTGTGCGCGCGCGCGCGCCTGTGCATGCATGTGTGTGTACATGCGTCTGTCTGTGTGTGCATGTGTGTACGTGTGCATCATAGCATAACCGTACCTTCAACTCCCGATAGAAAGGATCCAAGAGATGATCTGATCTTTTTGCTGGACAACTTCTGATGTGCCTCCTCCAGACTCTTCATGGATGACTTCAACCATGCTTCCTCTTTCTCATGATCAAGAGATGCTGAGTTACACATGCAGGCATGCACACACACCACACCACGCACACACACACACACACACACACACAAGAATCGATACAGAGGGCGTGTGTGTATGTGGCTAGCTGGCTACACAGTATACTTGCGTGTAAAAAACACTCCATCCAGGTATACACGTATGCGCTACTGCAGGTGATACAACTCCTGATTTCAGGCTCCCTCTCCTTTGGGTGACACTTGCCCAACTGGGCAATCAGCCTGCTAATACATGTACCAGTCCCGAGAGTCCATAACCCCAAGAGCGTGCAACTCTGTACATGGGGATCCGCGCGGCGGAATTCCAACATTACGTCAAAAAATGATGTGCACGTTCGTTGCGCTTGAACAGTACCCTGATTGCAAGCATCGCGGAATGCGCAGTTTTGTCCTCCGTGCCTCGGCAGCATGACGCAATGTTGGAATTCCGCCGCGCAGTGGGCCTACAGCAGCCAGACCCCAGTTGCACACACGCTCTTGGGGTTGTGGACTCTTGCCAGTACAATAGTATAAGGAGACCAGAACTGAATTTTTTAAATATTTTTTGCCACGAACTGAACGGATTTACAACACAGACAGACACAGTAGCTGTGTGCATAACCTATGTGCAAACTGAGACGCATATACAGCAACGCAGTGGGCGCGTGCGATGCTTCCTCCACCTACCCAGCTTGGGCTCGAACAAATGAAACGAGGACTTGGGTAGCCCACTGGACTGGGAGCCAGCACGACTGCTCTGTGATGTGGCCACCACTCCCTGAGCCAATGCTGTGACAGTAGCAGCAGCGGCAGCAGCCGACCTATCACCACGAATCTCAGCTCCGGCGATGTGCTGCTGGCGAGTGGCTTCGCCCAGCGACACGGTGGCCTTCGAGGAGTCCATCTTTGTTGCCAAAGTGTCCCTTCGTTACCTGCTCATTGTTGTCAGCACTGGTGCGTGGCTGAGCTGACAACCTCTTGGGCCAATCAAGATACAAGAAAGATTCAGACAGGCGCAATGCTCCGATATCTCAATCATTCAGGAGAAGACAACAACAAAAGGCGAAGAAAACAATTCCTGAATAGTGAACTCTGAATGACATGACAGTGAAGTATTTTTTGTTTGTTTTGATTTCTCTCTTCGAAACGTAACGACTTTTACGTCTTTTTCATTAAAAAAATGTGTTTGCAAAAGTTTTGTAGCTAAATGCGATCGACGAGTACAGAGTCCACGAGTAGATCTACGAGTAGATCTACCACTACGAGTACCCGCGGTACGGGTTTTTTGACCAAAGTAACAGTTAGTTTTTCAACTCTCTTTGTAGCGATTTAAAAAAAAATCAAAAATCCATTGTGAAAACGTGAAGCAAAGTAAGTAGTTACCATGGTTACATGTAGTGTAAAAAAAGGCACAACTACACGTATACACGTGTACAGTAAAACCTGGTGTAAGCGACCTCTCGTTTTAGCGACCACCTGCTCTCAACGACCGTTTTTCCATGCACGGACAGTTCTACACAGACACTGTGAGACCTGGTTCTAAAGACCACCTGGCTTTAACGACCGCTTATTACTACAAAGTAGTAGTAGTTCCTCGACTCTAGCTCTGGCCTGTACTGCTGAGTGCTGTAGTCCAATGCCCCAACAATGATTATGTCAATGACAATGGTAGTCTGGACTAGTACTATTACTTAGTCTTTATAATAAGTAGTATGGGTGGGCTGGAGTCCACTCGGCCGATCGGTGTGGTGCCTGTTGGCAACGCTTGTTGTGGCGTCCAGCCTCCAGCCTGCAGTCCAGGGGCATCATGGCATCATCAGGCACTGGTCCTATACATGTATTATGGCCTATCGGACCCGGCGACAGACAGTCATCGATGCATCATCATTGTCATTCATGATCATGGACATGGGCCTACTAGTAGATCTACGTGTACTAGTAGTAGTACTAGATGATAGATCTCCTGTCTGCCCGGGGGGTCTGTACTCGACCTACATGTACAGCGCGAGAACGAACGACCAGTCGACTGTCTGTGCATGTGCCATCGCGAGTCACCATGGTCACGGAGTGTGACAAGTGAAGTGTGATCTGATCACTTCTCTTCTTCCGCCCTCCTGCTCTGTGTATCATCTATCTGGCGAACTACTGCACGCCACGCATGGTCAGTATGTAGTATTGTACTTATGTCTTTGTAGCATTGTACTTATGTCTTTGTTTGTAGCATTGTACTTTGTAGGGGTCCAGTGCATGCAGGCAGTGCAGTGGTCGACTACTTGTGCGAGAGAAAGCGAAGCTGTTTTTGGAAAGGCTGCACTGCATGACCTCCGCATTTTGAACTTGAAGTTGATTGGACGTCAGCGGGCGACCTGTTCCCTATTCTCAGACCAGGACTCGTGCTGCCGTAGCGCTGCTGCATGTGCCACTGGGGCCCGGATCAGCTCAGCGCGTGATCTTCAGTGTTTGTTGAAGTTAGTTCGTGTTTCGCCGACTCGCCGCCACCACTAGCACTATGTCGAATCTCCAGTCGGTTGTCGGGTTTGCTGAGCTGGCCAAACAAATGCAGAAGCGCTCCGCCAAGAAAGGCTTCGACTTCACCCTGATGGTAGTGGGTGAGTTT